ATAGACTGTGATATCATCCTTGGCGTAGAAGGACGCCCCTCGCGCCTCGAGGGCCACTGTGCGACACCGGTCCACCAAGGTGATGGATTTGGGGTACATGTGTATGCTGTGTTGGTGTGTCTTGAGGTGCAATCGCGCTGTTCTCGGGAACGATGCCACCAATGCGCCAATCATGCTGGCCAGGAGCCCAAGGAATGCCCGATTCGTGCGGTCCTCTCGTGCTGTAAACGACATGCGGAATGTGGTCTCGTGGGGGAACGGCGCGAGCGGGTGGATATATGTGAAGAAGTCGTCGATGAGCAGCGTCAACACCGGCCACGGGGCGATAGACTCGGCATCAACGCTGTGCTGTGCATCTTGGGCACCGGAAATCGAGATGAGTGTCTCGGCGGCATTGTGGGGGCCAGGACTGATGTTTGGCTCAAGCCGTTGCTGCTTGGCCGCCTTGGCCGCTTCTGCGTGCTTGTTCGGGGGGCCACGCCGTTTCATTGTCCGGTTGAAAGTGCAGTCGACGCCGAGTTCGATGCAGGGCTTGCATGGCTGGGTCTCGTCGCACTGCGCAGCGAAAAGGTTAGATCAAGTTGCAACTTCCTCAACCTCGACTTGGTGGATGCGTACCTTGACCTTGCGCTGGCTGCACATGTCGCAAGCCCGGCGCAGACGGGTTGCCTTTGGATTTGCGCCCCCGCCGGGAGATGGCCCGACTTGAGCGCCGGTGAGGTACGAGGAGGGGTCAGTGAGGGATGCATGTTGCGATGTCACCGGGCTCGGTGATGGAACCGGAGCCGGAGCTCCGACGGCAGCTTGTAGGGCCTGGAGGCCATGGTGGGCTGCGGCGACTGCGGCAGCGGCAGCTTCAGCGGCGAATAGAGGGTGGGTTTGCGACTGATGGGTCTGGCTGTCGCTGTCCACGCCCTGCTGGGTATTATTTGAAGTCGGTCCTGTGCGGTCGCTTGTCGAGGGCGGCGGCGGTGGGTAACTCGACATGGCTGCTCCGCAATTAACGCGTCACATTCGACGCGCCTTGGCCTCACGGCTTCACTCCGGATGATCCTGCGGCTGGCTGTCCAGGCGCGGGCACTGGCGACTTTTCGGCGAAGATCCGGTAGAATCGCGGATGTTTGCAGAGGGCGGTCGATGCGCCTGCCCCGCAAGAGCAGGTCGGGTTGAGGGTTCGATCCACAGCACGTGACCACTCGTCGAGCTCGAAGAGCGAGCTGGGGGCTTGTTCCAAAGTCGCGTCACAGCCCAAAAGACAGGACGCCGAGAACGCGCCGCACAATGCTTGATGCAAAAGCTCTTGTTGCCGGGACTCAGAACACTAAGTTTGACTCGGGAGGATCGCCTCATAATCCCACTGCAAAGTGGAACACCGCCAGGGCCACAAGTTTTTGTAAGTTTCAGGTTGTAACTAACGTAACCCTCAAGGCACCTCGTTCAGCATTCCTGTTCCGAGTGCCCCACTAATTCATCGCTTCGGGCTGTCCAGCTGCCATCCATCAATCTCGACATACCCATTGCCTGGAGTCAAGACCCCGACAGCGATGATCTTGTTCAGCCAGTAGTACTTGCTGCTTCCCGTCTCAAACTGCATGCGCAGATGGATCTTGCCGTCGGACTGCGCCGGTCCCGCCGTGCGGATGAAGATGTGGGCGCCATCGTCGGTTTGGAGCTGGTACCGTGTATCGGCCGAGAAGGTACCGTCCTTGTCAATCAAACCCCAATCCGCCCCGAGGTTAAGCACCTTGCCTATGCATCGCCGCTTTCGTTAGCAAATCCCAGTATCTCCATTACCTACACTAGGACTTTTAGTGGAGGTGAGAGGCATACCGGACATTCTCGGGCCAGAGAAGGTGCCACCAGTGATGGGGATGACCGTGCGGGTGCCATGCGGCCCCTCGCCAACGGGTAGGGACTGTGCAAGCGTGCAGTTGAGCGAATACAGGTAGGTTAGCCCTGGGGTTGCCGGCGTCGCAGCCGAGGCGATCGAGGCGACCGATGCCAGTAATAACGCAACGCAGCCCTTCATGATGCAAATCAGTATCAGAGCAAAAAGACAGAGCCTGTTGAGGATGCACTGACTGCAGCCAAACGACTACAAATAGCTCCCCTTTTAAACACGACGGGATCGACATACATACCCCTGGCCGTGCCATGCCACTGACACCGCAGATCTGGGTTAGCACTTGCCGCGATCGAATCCCGGCGCACGGGAATCACAGCACCGATGCAACCGTCCCCGACTTCATTCGCTCGCTTGGTGTACCTGGAAATGCTTCCCCAATGTCTGCTGCGGGGACACCTGGTTCGTCGGCCGGTTGAATACCCAAAGCGCCAAACCAGATCCAAAACCGGCAGGCTTGCGAACCTCGGTCCGTGTAAACAATCCTTTCAAATTGGGGCCTTGCATCATGCATGGCTTTAAACTTGGACCCTCCCGGACCTGACGTACCCCCCCAAGATCTCATTCAACATGCCATTTTAACCTTGAAGCTTTCCGCATTCCCATGGAGCACTGCAAGGCGAATACTCAGCTTTGCGATCCGAAGTCTGTGGAGGACATCGGGTCGACTAAATGGCTAGGTAAGTAGACAGGGCTTTTGTTTAATGAGTAACTCCCGTCGGTACTTATTAAGCAACTCATATCCCACCCGCGCCGGGGATTCTGGGCGGCAACATGGGTCTGGATCGGAGGAGCGCCATAATTAAGGCACCACTAAATGCACTGGGTAGTAGTCGAGAATCGGGAATCTGCGCTGTAACTGCCCTTGAACTGGTGATCTGTGCTACGTGCCCCTGGCGTCCCCATTCCTAAACAACTTCGGTGTATTACCGCGGGGGCTTCGGTTTTGCGGAACGCCGCCTCCAAGTCTAATGAGATCTTAGCTGGCGCACGAAATCCGTCTCTTCATATCAAGCGCAATAGCTCCCAGCAAAGTCCGTATTGGAGTGTTGGGCAGCAGAGGCAGCCTTCAACTCGGTGGGAAGAGTTCGCAAAGGGTCAGGATCATTGTGGTTTGTAATATGACGACATAATCTGTGCAATGCCCATTCAAGGGCAACAAGGGATATTTGTCCGTTCCATTTCGTTCATTTTGTTGCTTTGCAAGCATCCATGATGAGTCTAAAAATCACTTTGTTTCTCCTTGCCATGAGGCTGAATATCGAGATATGTGCCCGTTTACAAGGGTTCAGGCGAGTAGCTGAACTCCTCCCTATTTGTTGTCATGTAAGGGTGGATGCGGTCCACGCGATGGGCACGGGTATCAATCATCAATGACGCGTTGAGTGAGTGACAGTTGTGATGGATGCCCAAATTCACAACTCCTGCCAAGCATCTTGGGCTGGAACAGCACATGACGACAACGTGGCACGGCTGACTCTGTGCTTTGACAATAAAATACGGCACAAAATACCCCAAAACAAGATCGTTGACCAGATAACAAAAACCTAAAACCCTACCGGTCTTGCTTGCCTAACTAAACTCCAACGTACCTTCCTTGACAAAGTCCCAACCCTCCAGACCTCCACCCCACGTGCGCTTCCGATCTTTTAACCTCACAAGGAGCAAACCACAGAGCAGCGTTGCTATTCCTCTTCTGCAACCGCAATGCCCACAATGCCGATGTCATGCTCCCCCAGTCCAGCAAATAGGGCATCAAATGGTCCCCGGGGTCGAAAACAGCAGAAAAAGCCATCGCTGATCATCCCACAACAAGTTGCCGTTCAGCCGATTGTTTGGCCCGCCGAATTAACGAGAGAGAGACACCGAATCGAGCGCCACAAAATTTCCAGCGGCCCGGGCTCGATCTTCGATTTGACCCTTCTCTTCCTCCTCCCACTCGACATCCGCCATCACATATACAGCCTCATGCTGCGAGATGCCGGGAAACGCCAGCACATCTTCTGCCCATCGATTGCCCGTAGAGGGATCCCGAGCGAGCTGCATCTTCGATATCTGTTAAGCAGGGCATGCGACGCGTCGACCAACGGAAGTTGTGGGCACTATGACTGCCAGAGAAATTCCGAGCACGAAACCCAATCGAATGCCCGCCATCTAGCCAATTTCGTCCCCTTAATGAGGACATGCAAGTTCGCGTACGGGAACCCCGCTGTGCTCAGATCTGGGGGTCCATGTGTCACTAACACTATGGCAAATCACAGGTACCGCGAAGTTGCTCACTTCCTCTACAGCGAGACCAACTTCACCTTCGCCAGCTTCGGCGAACTAAAGGCGTTTCTGGACTGGATCAACCCGGAAACGGCACTGTCGATCCGCTCCGTCACCTTCATCGCCCACATGCTGCCCGAGGGGACGGAGCACTGCCAGGAGCTGATCAAGGGGCACTACTTCCGCGGCCCGGGGTGGGACCATGTGTCGCTGTTCCGGCGCATGCCGAACCTTACGACGCTCGACATCCGCTTCTTCCCCAGCATCATGCTGTCGTTCACGACCAAGTTTGCCGAGATCATGGAGCCGCTCAGGGAGCTGTCAGAGGACACGGCCATCACGGTCGCGCTGCCGAGGATGTACTACAAAAAGGACATGACTGGCCAGGGCCTGCCGTTCGTCCGCAATCTTGCCGGCCGCGCGCCGTTCTGTGCACTGACGAGGGCGGTGGCCTCCGTGGAGCAGGGAACGGTGAGCTGTGACGCATATCCAAAATTCCCCGTGTAACGAGGTGATTGGGCTCCTCTGTGCGAATCTGCCCTTGGCTAGGAGGACATGAGCTAGAACTCGGCCTAGGGGTTGTCGTGACAAAAGTCTGTGGCATGGCATCGAGAGAGGCGCATGTAAATAATCGGTGCAGCCTGAGAGATGCGCGATGGAACGTGGTGACGTCAGTTTTAACTTTCTGGTCGCATGCCCGTGCTGCATGCAAGCTGGGAAAGTGTCCAGTTGGGACCGAGGAACCTCGCGGTCGAGATAAAAAAGGGGGGTCGCACAACACAACCACAACACAACCAGACATTTAAGACCATCGCTGACTTGGGAATTGAGCCCAACGTGGGGGTCGAACCCACAACCTTGAGATAACTTGTTTGTCCGCAGGGAACGTAAGAGTCTCACGCTCTACCGATTGAGCTAGCCGGGCGCACCGGTTAGTGTGTTGACATGACTCGCGAGAGCGCATGCATTTAGGAAGACGTGGTGGACCTGTCAACCTCCTTACCCCACGCGGCACCCCGGTCTCGGCGACAGAGACACGAGGGAGCAAGACACTCTCTTCGTGCAACCCAATTCCCGTGTGGCTTCGGTAGGGGCGGGCCGTGGCATGTGCTGTCCCCACCACCTTCACCCCATCAGGCCCAAACCCTCGCCCTGCGTTTGTCGCTGGGTACTAACCTACATACTCGCCTTGCCCTGGACACCTTGCCCTGGGCCTTTCCCCTCCGCGGACACCGAGAAGTTACCGTCCCACCACGGCACTTCCACCACCCAGGTGCGCGGGCCCTTGATGCACAACTTGTCGGGATAGTGCAATGACACTCTGTTGGGGATGCATGTGGGTGATGGAGACGCGGGTGCCGAAGGCGCGGGCGCTGCGCAGGCATGCGCGCTCATCTCGAGTACTGTGCCTTCCCGACGGCAGTCGCGTATTGCTGCCAGACCGCCGGGCATACTAGACGCCGGGCAGGCACGTAGACGCGGCCTGGCTTTGCTTGTCCCATCCCAAGGTGAATGCGTGGAAAGGGGCCTCGCGGCGGTGTGCGGCGTTGATCAGCAGGGCCACCCGCATGTCTCCCCTCCCCGGAAGCGGCTGGGGCGATGGTCTGGATCCGGATGGTGGCTTGGTTGTCCGGCCAGGCCAGGAATCAATTTCGGTGCCGGGACACGTATGTGTCGGGATCTCGGTCTGGGGAGGCCTAGATTTCGGCGACAAACGGGCACTCGCCACCCTGCGGTAGGCAAACATGCAGAGACCCGGCCCAGAGAGAGTTCATACGTCAACACGACGCTGCCAGCAGCCACAAGTGCGTGGCTACGGTCCTAATATCTAGTGAGGCTGCAGAGCGCCGTACGGCGGAGCGCTGCGTCTTCAGCGAGTTGCCGGTCGTGGATGGTGCATCCACAGCCATGTCAGCACCGATGAGGTGCGCTCTGCGTTGTTCCTGTTGCGGACTCCCGAAGGGTCTCCATACCGGTCTATTTCCGGTGCCAATAAAGGATGGCCCGCTCTGTAACAAGCCATGTTCAGGTGGAGAATGTGCGCATCTTGGAAGGAATAGGATGAGACGGGTATGTGTTGGCTTTCCGCTTCCGGCTGCCGCTGTCTTGCAACGGGGCGGGGACGGGGGGAGTGAGGGCAAGATATGCTTTGTCTCGGGAATCGGCGCCGCCAATGGGAGATTCCTCTGGGGCGGAAGTTTGCTGTTTGGCCTCACGGTTTCCTAAAACTGTCCGTTTCCGGACTGGGGAAGGGCCAAGGACTGGAAGGCTGGCGAGCCGTCACCGGTGATCCTGCGGCCCTGCCCCAAAGGAGCGATGCAGTTTGCGAAGCGTTCGACAGCCGTGGGCAGTGGGTCCGCGCACGTATCCCGGCGATTGGCCTCAGAGTCAAGTCACCCGAGCGAATGGCGAAGCAAGCAGACCGTGGGGTTGATGGCCGTTTGGGACTGGGTGAGGTCCCGTCAGTGAAGGTCCATGTACCGTGTGCCCGAAGTGCTCAACTCAGCAGACATGGGTGGGGATGGCGTCAGGCAATTACTGACGGGGAACGGACAGCGATAATAGACGAAATGTGATAAAAATTGACTACCTAGGTATCCGTGGAGGGATGACGGATAATGCGTTGCATAGGTACTGTCAGTCCGTCTCTTGGTTTGTGCTCTCGCCAACGTTAACAGGTGCCAGAGACTCGGCCGTCTGGCCATCAGTGACCGGCCCCTCCGGTGTGTTGCGGCGTTCCTTGAGTTCCTTGAGAAACTGCTCTACTCTTTCCCTGCTCCCCCGGGCGGCCCGTTCGTTGAAAACCTCGGCTGGCAGCAGCTCCCAGCCCTTCTCGAATCCAGGCCGGATAAATTCCTTGGCCTCGGGCCCGCCAAACGTCCAAGGGGTAATGACCTGCATATGAGTCACGAGGGTGGGCTTGCGGCCGAAGTCCAAGCTGTCAAGGCCGCTGGCCACCAACATGGGCTGGGTCACAAGCTGAACGGGTGGCAACGGCTCGCGTGGTTGGTTATTTCGGGTGGGCGGTACCTCGGCTGCATTGGCCGGCTGCATCCAGTTTTCGTCAAAAGGAAACTCGAAGGTCTCGTAACTGCCGATGGGGGAAAATCTCAGGGCATAGCCCCCGCGCACGCCATGCAGGAAAACCTGCGCTCTAAGGGCGGAGCGGAGGAGCCGTCTGATGGCCTCGTTCCTGCCATCACTGGGTTTGCCGTTGACGCCGATATAATCCAAGTCCCTGGCATGGGGATCCTCAGCGGGGAACTGGTCCTCGCCATTGACGACAAACTGGCGGTGGAAGCTCTTGAAGTGGGCGACCAGATCGGCTGGCGCAACCGGTTGCTGCAGCCCCAGCCCACGTCGGACAAGGTGCTCAGTCAAGCGATTCCAGGCGGAGAATTGGACGGGGTAGGTAATATCACCGTGGTTGCCCTCGCGGGTACTCAAAGCTTGATGAGACGTTAGTATCTGTACCGTGCGGGAGACGGGGGGTGACTTGCCATTCAAGTGTCGGCGCAGGCCACGGACATGCTCCCAGACTGGGGAGCTAGCCTTCACCAGAACACTCTCTTCCAAGTCGGGCGCAAAAGAAAAGAGGTTGTCGTCAAGATAATGCCAGATACACGCTTGGACGATGCCTTCGCGGTGTGCGACGAAGTCCGACTCCCAGAGTTCTTGGGCAACGGACGACCAGCTTTCTAACCGCCCCCGGGTGTCGGGGCTCAGTTCTTGCCATTGCACAAGGCCCCACCGCTGCATGGACTCTGCCAACACCCTTACGCGGGTGATCAGCTGCTTCCAACAACCCAAAGTGTCCAACTCTTCAAGATGTGAGGAAGGTCCGTCATGGTAGACATCCAACACCCAATGATACTCGGCCCATGCGGCGCCGCGCTTGCAGCAGAAAGCCTGGCAGGGCCCGCCCGGGATGTCCGGAGAGTGGGAGAAGAACTTGCCGCGCAAAGACATGGTGGTTTTGCCGTCGATAGCTCTGCCCGGTGCTGGCGTACTGTGCTTTTCGTGTTTCTGGCGCTTTTGGCGTTTGGGTGTGGAGGATGGCAACAGGTTTCAGACGCGGGGGAAACTTGACTAAATGATTTAGGCGGATGGCGAGCACGGGAAGCTGGTCACAAGGACTATTATTTCGTGTGACGGGAGTCCGGGACGGGGAATGCAATCTCTTTCTTCTCTCTTCGATGTCCGCGCCACCGACGGAATGCTTGGGCACCTAAGCTGGCTGTTTCCGGCCACCAGACGCTAATTCCGTTCAGGGGTATGAAGTCGGTTTCTAGGACGCATGCCAACCCCGCCCGCCCCCCGGGCTCGCGTGGTTGTCGCGTTGCATGTACATTGGTACATGGTACATGTATCTGGGTACGTAGGTACTTAACGTTTTGTCCCATCCCCTGGTGCCATGGCGGCCAGCCAACCACATAGCCCACCCCTCGGCCCATATGGGGTATTCCCTTGCACCTGAAAGAGTCTTCCCAGATGCCGCGCTGACCCCGGGCGGATGCGCCAGGGCAGCAGCGGTGCTGGGGTGGTGCTCGCCGCAATCGTCGGTACCCCGGCAGACCGTAGGGCGCCACGCGAAGGCGGCGATGAACGAAATGGGACCATTAGCGACCTGCGAAGGCTGCCGTGGAGGGTTGGGATGGTCAATGATGCTGGCACGGCGGTATACATGTCGCTCGCCGGGTGGTTACAGATGCATATATGGATGTATGCCGACGTTTCGACGACGACGTCGTTTTGCGTGTGTGCTAATACCTATGTAAAACAGCTGTGTATGGCCACTAACGGCAAGCGGCGGTGTTCTAGGCTCGTGGTAACTCACTTTTTGCTCATAAATCATCTCTGTCCGCTCAATAGGGTCAAAAAATAGTCGCTCTAACGATAGAAAACCACCCCCTTTGAACAACAACGAAGACAAGAAGATATCGCTATTGTAGGGAGGCAGTGAACGCAAATCAGGAATTAGTATTTCACTTTCATTTTGGGGTCGAGCTGCTGACTCAGCAGAGCTCTAGTCACGTGCGAGAACGTTTTCTGACAATTAAAACGGTAGGGAACGCGTTCGCGCTTAGTTTTCACCTCTCCGTTTTCCAATTCCGTTTTCCGACTTTGGCTGTAGTGTGAATCTAATGTCGCCTTGTTGTGACTATACCGGTAGTTTCACTAAAGCGTTGCGGACCCGCTTTTAGCCAACCAAACGTGTTTGCGACTCCCTTCTCTACGTCTTGGCGAATGGCCGCTTTCGTGTTCATGTGTGCCGAAGAATGCCAACCCCACGGGCCACCGTCCTCGGCCAGGCCAAATTCGACGGCTGTACTGCGAGTTGGTCACTTCGACCTAGAAATCTTTCAGCCAGAATATAGCGATGTGGACTCGGCAACCTGGCGTGTTCGCGTTCCGAGTACCGGCCCCGGCCCCGGCGCTCGTCAAACTGAGCGAGCTGGCCAACTCGAACTGGACGCGACCGTGACCTATACGGACTGACCCAGCCGATCCTGATGCTCGTGAAAGGAAAGCCTCGACAACACAACAGAGCCACACGAACCAGGAGCAGACCTGGCAACGAGTACACGCGCTGCTCTCAGGGTTTACGACCACTTGCAGCGCCGACATCGCCCGAAGACGGATTGCCAGTCCAGGTCGCACGCTGGCGATGAGCGCGGAACCAACCTAACGCCGGCGCAGTCATGCATCAGCGCGGCTATGAAGCAGGCAGTCCACACCTCGTCCCCTCCTCATGCGACGATCCGTGGCCTTCTTTCTGCACGACCAGGCTCCTTATCCATGTTGTCAGACTACTAGCGCCACCACCAGCAAGGGGTAGGGGGCACCGAGTTGCTTGATACGCGGGGTAGTTCCGTCCCTTTGCTATCTCGCTCTAGGTGAAGCGAAGACAACGAATCCCCCGTC